CTGCGAGGTCGCCAACTACTTGAGCCTATGGGGCTTCGGCGGTGCTTCTCAGCCTGCTGACGTGTCCCTGCGCGAGGACACATGCATCTACCACGTCCCCATCGCGCGACAAGTGGACGCAGTGATCTCACGGTTCAATGTGCAGACAGGAGGCCATGACAAAGTTCACGTGGTCGTCGGAAACATGCACATCGTTTGCGGAAGCAACCCTCCCAGCATTCACACGCGACAGAAAGCAGTTCGGTTTCTCCGACTCCATTTGGACGGGATCGCCGTGCTTCTCAGCGCTGGGGAGCCGGGCACGCCGGTCGTGCGCCTCGTAGTCGGCGACAACAACTTGACCGCGCAGGAGGCGCGTGAAGCTTTCCAACGCCACACTGACGACGAGGCGTTATGGGAAGTCTTCGCCCCCCCGGCGGACCGCAAAGGCGACAACGTGGCAGTCTGCGGAGCAGTCGCGCGTTTCCAGCCCGTCGCTGTTGGCGCCTCCTACATGGGCCGCGGCATGCGAAACGACGCACGCGATGATGTTGCGGTCGTGCTCACCGCCCCTGATGCTTCTCAGCCTGGGGAGACAAAGAGGCGGAAGATTGCATTCGGAGGATTGCCTGACGCCGACGCCGGCTCAGAGACCGAGGTGGAGGGCTCCTCGGTGCACTGGTCCCGGCCCCCGAGCCCCGCTCCTGTGCATGCACCGCTTTCACCGACGTCACCGGCCGACGCCGCAGCCTGCGACGAGCCCGAGGATGAAGTTAGTCGGCGCGCGCATGAGCTGCACAAGGAGTTGAGGGAGTATTGGGACCAGAGGTATGACGCGGCCTACGACCCGAAACTCCTCCACCACCTCAGCCTCTTGCTGTTCAAGAAGAGGACGTCCACGCAGCCTGCGGACAAAGATCCAGCTGGTGCTTCTCAGCCTGGCTCGGACTGTGACACCGCCTTCGCGTCGCAGGCGGAGACTGTCCGAGCCATTGTGTCTGTCCTTAAGGTTCGCCGTGAGTTTCTGCGGAGCAAAAACATCGCCGACTTGCGGCACGTCCTCACCGACGCTGAGCGCGGGGAACTCGTAAGACGTGTTCGCACAGAGCACGAGCAGTCCGAACGCCAGCTGGCGCTACAGGAACGAGATGGCGAGAAGGGGAAAGCGAAAGGCAAGACTCCACCACAAGGTTCTAGCGGAACTTCTCAGCCTGCGGGAAAAGGCGAAAAGGGGAAAGCGAAAGGCAAGACTCCAACACAAGGTTTTCGCGGAGCTTCTCAGTCTGCGGGAAAAGGCGAGGAGGGGAAGGCGAAAGGCAAGACTCCACCACAAGGTGGCCAGCCCCAAGGGGCAGGCCAAGGGAGTCTCGCTAAGTTCCTCAGAGAGCAGAAGCGCAAGCGGTGGTGCCGGCATCTGCAACGTGTGTGCGGCACAAAACAGATCTGGGAGGTGCTGGCTTTCTCCGGCCGCTTCGACGTTGACATGCTCGCCCAAGCCCTGCACGCCGAACCCAGTGGGCCACCTGCGCACGACGAAGTCATGAAGGAAGAGCGCCGCCGCCTCCACCACGACAAGGCTGAAGCGATCTCGCGCCACAACGAGGGTGAGCGGCTCGCCCGCTATCGGCAAGAGCTCTTACGTGGCGGCGCTACTCAGCCTGCCGACCAGGGCCAGGAGGTTCCCACTCTCACGCGCAAGCAGTTGGACGTGCTTCGGAAGTGGGACAGCGGCGAATTGCGAGTCAACCGGAACCAGGCGATTGTGGCGCTAGGACACGGCCGCCTCCGTACTGCGGGAGGGGATTACCTGGACATCGGCGGCAGCACGGGCGGTGGGTCTCGGCGCATCATCGACTCTTGGCAGCCGCCGGATTGGCGCGACTTCCTGCAAGACGAGCGGGAGAGGTGAGGTTTCCATGCCCGTGTGCCCGCGGTGCTTCTCAGCCTGCGGTGCTTTTCGCTAGACTCTTTCTGCGGTGCTTTTCTGCGAGTAGTAGGACTCTTTTCAGCCTGCGGGTTTCTGCGAGTCTCAGCCTGCGAGTTTTCAGCCTCCAGGTTTCGCAGGCTCTCCGCTTCGCACGCCGCTCCTCAGTTCCAAGACGTCTGCCAAAGTGCAGGCTTTTGCAGGCTGCCGCTTTTGCAGCCTGCCACCACAGCTCAGCGTGCCGCTTTTGCAGACTTCCAAGACGTCTGCCAAAGTGCATGCTTTTGCAGGCTGCCGCTTTTGCAGCCTGCAACCACAGCTCAGCCTGCCGCTTTTGCAGGCTTCCAAGACGTTTGCCAAAGTGCAGGCTTTTGCAGGCTGCCGCTTTTGCAGCCTGCCACCACAGCTCAGCGCGCCGCTTTTGCAGACTTCCAAGACGTCTGCCAAAGTGCATGCTTTTGCATGCTTTTGCATGGACTCGCCCAGCACACCAGTAGAGACACAGGTCTTACGAGTCCCTGCACATAATACTTTGTACACAATGTAGTCCTGCGAGTCCTACTGTCCTGCGAGTCTGTGATGCAACTGTGTAGTGTCAAGCTCTGTGCGTTGATAGCAGTGCGTGCGTTGATAGCAGTGTCTTGTTTGACCATACATCTATTCAAGTTCCGTGTGTTGATAGCAGTGTCTCGTGAGGACGTACACCCATTCAAGCATCCGTGCGTTGATACCAGTGTCTCGTTTGGACATGCATCCATTCGAGCTCCGTGCGTTGATAGCAGTGTTTCATTTGGAGGCACATCCATTCAAGCTTTGTGCGTTGATAGCAGTGTCTCGTTTGGACATACACCCATTCGAGCTCCGTGCGATGATAGCAGTGTCTCGCTTGGACATACATCCATTCAAGTTCCGTGCGTTGATAGCAGTGTCTCGTTTGGACATACACCCCTCCAGCTATGCTTCTACATATCGATGTTAGGTTGCTTTGCCGGGATAATTAAGTTTCCTCCAGCTCTGCGATGCTGCCTCGGATGCCAAGGTGGGGCCGACAGCTTCCAACATTACTGGTGCTGCCCGCGTCTGCGGGGCATGGTAGATGTCATTCCTGCCTGTCCCATCTCTCGTCTTGGCGTTCTCCACCCGTCTGACTCTTCTCTCCTGCTTCCCATCTCTGCGTATCTCTTTTTCATCCGTCTGAGTGTTTTGACCCCTCCTGTATCGAGCGAGGTGGCAGAATCGGTGTTTCTTGCTGTCAGGTGCGCTCTGGAGCGCCGTGCAGGTTCACGTGGTAGGCGAGTTCAAGGAGGATAAACCTGCTGCGCGCCTTGGGGACGTGCGAGGCGGAGGAGGAGGAGGAGGAGGAGGAGGAGGAGGAGGAGGAGGAGGAGGAGGGAGGACAACGATATGCATGATATGCAGGAAATGCAGCATGCGGAGCAGGAGCAGGACAAGGGTGCAAGCATGCGATCGATGCGAGGGGGCCAGAGACGGGTGGGGAGGAGGAGGAAAAGCAAGTTCGGCAGGGGCATGCGGAGGAAATGTCGAGGGCCACACGGGGGAGAAAAGAGGATGGAGGGGGAAAAAGGACGAGGGGGCGGGCAGGAGGAGGAGGAGGAGGGAGGAGGAGGGGGAAGAAGGAGGAGGAGGAGGAAGAAAAAGGAGGAAAGGGAAGGAGGAAGGAGGAGGAGGAGGACTGGGCAGGAGGAGGAGCATGCCCCCTGGCGATAGAGGGCGTGGTCGTGGGGTCGCGTCACGATTCGCGTCGGGGCCGTCAGGGGATTCCTTTATGAATGGCTAGTTCCGAAACGGCGCCGGTGCATATCGTGACGTGACCAGGGGGTGAGATGAGGGGGGCGGGGCCAGTCACAGTCGTAATCGCGAATGAGAAAATGGGTTCTTGGTCCTGGGCCGTTTTTGCTTCGACCGGGTCCGAAGGCGGCCCTCGGGAACCCAGAGTGGCGAAGCATTTGTGTCTGTCCGCGGCGGCGTGGCGAACTTCGAATTGCGCACGAGGCGGGCGGATGCGGAGCCAGCAGGAGAGGCGGTCGCGGGAGCGGGCAGGGAGGGAAGGCCCAATGATGGCGAAGGCCATGCGGTTTCATATTTTTACCGAATCGCTGGATGTCCAGACCCAGCTCGGGCCTCGCGCCCAACGCGCCTGGCGCGCGCGCGTTCGGAGAGCACCCGCGGGCCACAGACTTCGGCGACGGCCCGCTCACGCGAGCGCGAGCGCGCGATCGCGCGATCGCGCGCGGGCGCGCGACGCGGCTGGATTTCGCCAGCGCCGGCGTCGTAGTTTTCACAGTCGCCGTAGCCGGCGCCGTCGCCGTCGACCTCGCCGTCGTCGATGGAAGATCGAGGCTGCTCGGAGGTTTTTGGGGCGGCCTGGGGAGCGTCTTCAGGGCGAGAGCGGGGGGGGGCCCCTCGCCGCCGCGGCAAGGCGCGCGGCTCGAGAAACTGGTCGGGGCTGGCCCCCTGTCTGGGGATCGATTCTTGTCAGGAGGGAGCACAACACACAGACACAATTAATCGTCGACTCCCAGGAAAAACAGGAAAATATGGGAAGGGGGGAAGACAAAAACTTATACAATATTGGAAAATGTAAGAAATGCGGTTATGTGTGTCTATTTATTTGCGTGTCCTTGGGCCCCTTCAGATTTATGGCCTCTGTCTGGGGATCGATTCTTGACGGATCTGGGCGGGCCCCCCCGACCTGGCCAGGCCTTGAAAGGCGCAATCGGTTCAGGCCACCAATTCCTTCTTCGGAGATCGAGTTTCGGCATGGTCCGCGTTTTCAGTCATCTGCCGCAGCAGCCCATCAATTGCCGCTGTGTGAGATCGTTGCGGAGAGCGTTGCAGCTCTGTGTTCAAGAAATGCACAAACCTGACGATCCAACGTGGCAGTTTTTGTGCGCCGCGCCCTGCCGCGTTCGCTGACCGCACCGGGGGTTTGTTCGTAGAAAGGGTCCAGGGATCGATTCTGAACGGATTTTGGGCGAGGCCGTCCTCCTCCTCCTCCTCCTCCTCCTCCTCCTCCTCCTCCTCCTCCTCATGCTCCTCATGCTCCTCATGCTCCTCCGCCTCCTCCTCCCACCAGGAGCGGCGCCAGGACACTGAGACCGCTGGTCCCCTCGAGGTATACTCCGCCGTTCTGGCTCCTTTCGGCTCAAGCTGCTCGACCAGCAGGCCCCGTGACGCCCAGGAGTGGACCTGAACGGTGGTTTGGCGATTTCGTGGACCGTGGACCTGTTCGTTTCGACTTCGTTTTGCGTGACAGGCGGATTGAAGACAAAACGAGGGAAAGCGAAAACAAAACGACAACGAAAAACGTTCAGCCCTGGTGGCGCCCCCGCCCGCGGCGTGCGCTCCCCTCCGCCCCCGAGCCCGCGGCCCGCCCCCCCCCCGCGGCAGAGCACCCCATGGCGCTCACCGCCCGGGCCTCCGCGGCCCTGGCGCTCGTCCTGGCGGCGGCCGGGGCGGCGCCCCCCGAGGGCTGCGCTGCGGCGGCGGAGGAGATCAGAGGATACTCCAGATTTCGTCATAAAAGGGAGGGGGTCTGGACCCTCCAAGACAAGCCATTTCAGACCCCCCCGTGGGAGAACCCTCCAAAACATCGTCCCCAGACCCCCCCAGGCCCTCCAAGATAGCCTGGAAGAGACCCCCCCCCCGAAATCAGACCCCCCTCCCTTTATTACGAAATCTGGAGTACCTCTACGCTTCGGCCGTTTTCCCCTTTTCGGGCCTCCTCGGAGGATCTCGTCGCCACCGCTGCGTTCGCCTCGAGATCCTGGTCAGAACGCGCCCATGGAGAGTCGGGGGGGTAGCGGTATCGGTAACTTTTTGTTTCCCCAGGAGAGCGACGGGGTGGGCCTGCTGCAGGCGGCGGGCCGCAGCGCGCAGGTGCGGAGCCGCTCCGACGCGCCGGGCGGGGGGTGGGTGCCCCGGACTGCGACGTGCGCCATCACGGACGTGGAGTGCGGGACGGGCTGCTGCGGCGTGACCAGCACGTGCACCGCGGACCAGAAGTGCGAGAAGATGTTCGGCGACATCGTGGACCCCACCCCAGGCAAGGTCGGGTGCCCGATCGCCTTCAATGACCACGGCGACGACGGCTGCTGTCCTGCAGCCACGCTCCTGGGCCCGCCAGAGACGTGCCTGGAGCTGACGTGCGAGAACATCCTGCAGTACGACTGTGGCATCGCATCGGGCGGGTCGCCGACTTGCACGGAGGGCGGTGAGATGCCCGCGGGCGCGGACTTCACCATGGGCATCAAAGCGACGCCGAAGGTCTATCGGACCTGCACGCTCGACGGGAAGAGCTGCTACGAGTACTCGGTGAACATGGCAGGTTTCTCGATCACGAACAGCACTTCCAGTCCAGACTGTGGCCACACATCAACAAGGACCACGAGCACGCGATGATCACGCAGCCTTCTTTACAACCCCCGAGGCACTGAGTCAGCCGCCGGTGCCAGAGCGCGCGTCCCCCTTGGGTCTTCTTCTCTTCCTCCCTCCTGCCTTCTTTCTCCTTGCAGGTGTGGACCTAAACGGTGTTTGGGCGATTGCGTTAAAGACGGATTGGGGACAAAACGAGGGAACACGATAGCAAAACGAAAACGAAAAACACCGTTTAGGTTCAGCCCTGTCTCCTTGGTTGCCCACTCCGCTCCTCCCCTTGCTCCCGCACGGGCGTCGCGCTCCGGCACGGGTGGGCTGGCGCCGCCGGCTGTTTTTGACGGCGCTCCAGGCGCGAGAGGAGAGGTGCTCCGCCGTGACCCTTCGAGGGTGGACCTAAAGGGTGTTTTTAGTGATTTCGTAGGCCGTTTTCGCTTCGACTTCGTTTTGCGGTAAAGGCGGATCCGAGACAAAAGTTAGGATAAACGAAAACAGCACGAAAACGAAAAACACCGTTTAGGTTTAGCCCTGTGACGCTTCGCCGGAGTGCGTTTTGATGTCCTGCTCTCTGGGCCGGGGGGGGGCAAGCCCACGCCCCAGACCCCCCGACGACCTGCTTTTTGTCATAACGTCGACCCCCAGCCCCCAGAGATCTCGACCCATTTGCCTGGACCAGTTTTTCATCCCGAGCCGTTTCTGTTGACGGTTCCGAGGCTTGGTGGGGGCCCCGTCGTGATTTTGTCACGACTCGAGGGTGTCTGGGGCCGCCACTGCTGTGTCGCACGCGACGGTCGGCTGGCCGCACACCAAAGGGCGCCTTTTTCTCAGGGACACGCTTGCGCATAGCAGGCCCCTCCGGCGGCCCGAGGCGGAATGCGCCTGGAGGTGCGCGTGGCGTGGCGGAGTCCGCGGCCCCTGCGTTCGGGGACCTCCCGGCCGCTGGGTCTCCCCCTTCGCGACTCGCGAGGGGGACCCCGACCCTCTCGGGCAATGGAAAATCACGATGTCTCTTTTGTTGTTTTGCTATCTTGGGCCTCTGGAGGCCGTGACAGGCAAGGAACGACTCGGGATGAAAATCGGGTCCCGCGGAGTGGGGCGAGACCTCCGGGTGTGACGCTATGAAAGAATCATGACGTCGGGGGTCTGAGGAAGAAGGAAGGAGCGTCGAATCCGACACGTCAGGGGTTCGTGTGAACGGGCTAAGTGGCCTGGCGGGCCGAGCGGAGGGGTGGAGGGCAAGCAGCAAAGGCAGCAGCGAGAGCACGAGCGGCCAGAGCCGCAGCCACTCCCCGCCAGCCGGAGCCCCGACCAAGCCATGCTTCAAGGAGGGAGGAGGGAGGAGGGAGAAGGGAGGAGGGAGGAGGGAGGAGGGAGGAGGGAAGAGGAGGAGGAGGGAGGAGGGAAGAGGAGGAGGAGGAGGAGGAGGAGGAGGAGGAGGAGGAGGAGAAGGAGGAGGAGGAGGAGGTCACTGCTTCCCACCGGCCTCCCGCTGCTCGGCCTCCCGCCGCCTCCCACCGCCTGCCACTGCTCGGCCCCCCACTGCCTCCCGCTGTCTCTCACTGCCTCCCGCTGGCCTCCCACTGCCTCCCACTGCTCGGCCTCCCCCCACCCCCCCTTCCGCGGGCCGCGGCCCCAGGCCGCCGGCGCCAGGAGCACCGCGGCCGCCTCCGCCCGCCCCGCCACGGGCAGGGCTTCGGAGTGGCCCGGGTGTCAGGGGCAGCTTTGGTCGGGGGGCAGGCTCGGGGGTGCTTCGACTGTCCTCGGACGCTCTCGGACGTTCCCGTCGGGTCCTGCAGGTGTTCCTGCCTCGGGACGCGCTTCGGCAGCTGGGCCTCGCCGAGAGGCGCCTGCGGGGGTCCAGATCGGCCGCCAGATACGCGATTTACAGGAGAGGAAGAACACACAGACACTAGTAATCGTCGATTCCCAGAAAAATATGGGAAAATATGGGAAGGGGGGGGGACAAAAACCCATAAAATATGGGAAACTATAGGAAATGCGGTTATTTGTGTCTATTTGTCTGTGTGTCCTTGGGCCCCTTCAGATTTATGGCCCGAAGCCCAGATGGCAAGGACCATTGCGGAGAATAGGGGAGCGCATCGACCCCCAATCGCCCATTCATCGCCGATAGGGGCTTGATAGCGCACCCCGCCCAGGAACGCGCGGGTTCGCCATCGGGTGCCTATCGCCGATCTTCCCACCGGCGACGTACAGTCAACCCGCAGAATAAGGATGAGCACTTTTCCAGGGTTGCCCTTGCATCCTTCCCCTTCGGCCCATCCTTGGCCGCTTTCGCTGGCCGCGCCCCGCTCGCAGAGTGTCGACAGGGCGTCCAAGCCGAACCTTTCGCAGCTTCGTGTGACGGTGGTGGTGGACCTCTCTATTCACGATCCGTGTGAGGGGTGTGCCGACATTGGTGGGAGAACGCACGGCTTTCAGTTTTTTTACAAAGAAAAAAGATCCGGGGCCGCACAGGAGCCACATCCAACCAGTGACAATCAGAAATCGGCCTGCCGGCATACGCCCCGCGAAAGTTTCTCATCGCCCGGTGAATTCATGGACCCGCAAACGTCGGGGGTGGACAGACCCCGTTTTCGGTTCGCGAGAGGGCGTCGCGGCCGTCATTTTGCGGGTCCAGGTCAGTCGGTTTCGGTCCCAGGCCGTTTTCACTAAAGGGAGGTCTACTAAAGGGAGGTTTGTCCACCGCCGCAAACGCTCGGGGTTCAGGCCCAAGATTTCTCATCGTATGTGTGTGCTGTGCGTGCCCGCCCAGCTCTTAACCGGAAGAGGCTCGCTCTCGACCCGCAGACCAAAAAAGTCTGCTGTGCGTAAGCAAGCGGAGCTCCCAAAGGGGCACGGCCCGCGTCAGGGATGTGCCGAAATGGGCGGGGGGAGCGCACGTAAATGTTCCCACTGGGGCCGTGGGTGCAGCTTCCTAAGGGGCACGACGCGCATGGGGGCGTACCGAAATGAGTAGAGGGAGAGCTGCTATTTTTTCGCTGGGGCCGTAGGTGGAGCTCCTCATGGGGGCACGGAACATGTGTGAGGGGCGTGCCGACATGAGCCCGCGCTCGCCGTGCAAGCTTTTCCCGCTGGGGCCGTAGGTGGGGTTCCCTAGAACTGAGCCCGAGTACGCTTGGCGGGCTTTCCAAGCTGGGCGCGCAGGTGGAGCCCCCCGTAAGAGGCCAGGATCCTCGTGAGGAGCACGCCGAAATGTGTGGCGCAGCCATGCGAACCTTCCCACTGAGGCACTTAGGCCCCACGTGAGGCTCCCTGTGGGGCAGCGCTCCTCGTGAGGGGTTCGCCGACATGGGCGCCGCCGCCGTACGGCCCCTGCCACTAGGGCCGTAGGTTCCCTATGGGGCCACGATCCTCGTAAGGGGCGTGCCGAGCTGGACCCGCGTGCGAAGTGCAACATTTCCCATTGGGGCCGCAGGTGGAACTCTCTGTGGAGCCACGATCCTCGCGATGGGTGTGCTGAAATTGACTTGCGCACGCCGTGCGAGCTGTTCCGCTGGGGCCGCAGGGTGTGCCGGAAAGGCCCCGCGTGCGTCGTGGATATTGCTTCACCTTGGCATCGCTCGTACGTGTGCATTTCTCCTTCGGCGAGGACCATCGAGAAGCATCCTTGATCACTTGGCGACAAATCCACGCACGAAACCGACAAAAAAACAGGGAATGGACGTCCGAGCGATGCCCAGAAGGGGCACGATCTGTGTGTGTGGGGGGGCGGGGGCGGCGTGCCAAAGTGGGCCCGCGCACGCAGCGCAAACTTTTCCATTGGGGCCGTGGGTGGATTTCTCTGAGGGTGCGAGTCTTCCCAGCGCCCAGGGAGGAAGCATCTTGCACATGGCATGCTCGCTGTCACCAGCCCCTCGCAGGCTCGAGATAAGATGTAGCTCGAGCTTTCCCAGAAGCTGTCGCTCGCCGCCGCCCGTTTGGGGCACCTCGGATGGTAGCACGAAGCTTGTGAGGGACCTGCAGACATGAGCCCGCGCACGCCACTCAAAGCTTCCCACTGGAGGATTTGCATGAGGGAACGAAGCACGTGTGAGGCGCGTGCCCAGAATGGGACCCCGCCCGCCATGGAGGTTTTCCCATCTGGGGTCGTTGGTGGCGGTTCCTGGGCGAGGCGGAACTTGTGAGGGGTTCGCCAGACCGGGTCCGCGCATTCCATGCACGAGTTCCCATTGGACCCGCAGGTGGAGTTCCCCACGGCGGGGCGAAACACGCGAGATGAACGTGTGGAAAATGGGCCCGCGGAGAGCAGAGGAAGGAAGAGGGGGAGAGATGAGAAGGTGATGAGGAGAGGCGCTGCTGGCTCATATAGAGGACCCGACATCGCAGGAGGGTTGGGGAAAAAAATCGGTGACAAAGAGCCAGCGCGCGGGATTGATTCGCCCTTCGGTTTTTGTTCCTCTCGTACGCCCGGATGTCCCACTGCCTGTCGTCGGCGCGCGGGGGGTGGGCGGGGGGCGGGGGGGGGGATCCCGTGGGGCTGGGCGAGTCTCTGCGGGCGGTGGTTAGTTCGACAGAGGGGCGCGAGCAAAGGGCGTGTTCCGAAACAGCGAAAAGTGCTGCACGCAATTGGTTTCGGCTCCACGGGGGCACGGTCGCTTCTGGCGCCCCGAGGCGCCCGAAACAGCAGGTGCAGATTGCCGATCCGCTGAGCCCCGCTTTGCCAACCCCACCTTTTCGTCCACCAAGAGAGTTGCACGAGATGGGCTCGACGACCTGGGCGGAGCCCGTGCGAGGGGCTCCCGCCTCCCCTCGCCATGGGAGGGAAGGTGGCCGGGACGGAAGCGGGTCCTGGAGCAGACGCGGCCTAACCGACCCTTGGCAAACCATCCCCTTCCATGACGTCCTCCTCGCCTTTTGAGCGCCCCTCCGGCCGCATTACATACGTTTTGGGGTGAGGCGACGGGGACGTCACGGAAGGGGACGTCACGGAAGGGGATGGTTTGCTAAGGGTCGCTTAGGCCGCCCCTGATTGGAGCAGAGCTTTGTCCAGGCCCAGGTCTGCATCTTGGATTGTTTGCTCACGGTCGCAGGGCTCGTGGAAGGACCGGGGGCGAGAGGGGGGGGGAGGGGGCAGAAATGGCGAGACCATGCCAGGGCCCTTCCCCTGCAGGACCCGCTTGCGTCATGCTCACTCTCGGCGGCGCGCCGGGGGGAAGTGAGAAGGGGGCAGGCCTTCCCAGAAGGCGGCGGGGTTGTTCAGAAACCGTCCGGCCGTCGTCCGGTCTGTGTGTCCTGGAGAAGGCCTGGCATTTTTTTCAGAAGGCGGGAGGCCTGCTGAGCCCCCCTGGGGGAGGCGCGCCCCCTCTGCCTTCCCCCCGGGCTCGCCGCTCAAGGTCTGATTCCTGAGTTGCCTGCTCACGCTCGCGGGGCTCGTGGAGGGCTCCGAAAACGGCGAAGCACCGTCCAGGGACTTTAAGGGTAGCTCTTTGGGAGATGTTACAGCATCGGGAGCA